ATTTCTTCTTTAAAAACTGATTTCTTTTATAATTTCTTTTTCAAAATTTCTGTTTTAAAAATGTTTTCTTTAAAAATTCCTTCTTAAAAAAGAAATTCTTTTAAGAATTTTCTTTATTTTCTTTTCATTCTTCTTTTTAAAAAAATTTCCAACCAAAAAAGGAAATAAAAAAATTTAATAAGAAATTGTACCAAAATAAACCTCTATTTTCACGAATACAGCAATATTAAGATTATTATTTGCGTTTATAATATATAAAATATTTGCTTACACATTTACTGGCATCGAATATGAGGACAAAGCAATCATATATCCTTGTAGTTGTATATGGGGGGATTGGTAGTCACCGAGTTGAGGAAAGGAATGAGTTTTATTTTCAGACATGTATAGTTGAAGAGGAGAGAGAGAGAAAAGACGGCAGACTGAGTAAACTGGGTTATTCCAGGACGATTCCCGCAGGGCAGCCAACTTTCATGGTAATATTTCCCGCGTGGTTCTTGTAACCCCTTTGCTTTCGACTCTTATCGACCATTTTAATCGACGACATTTACCTCCTTTTTTCTTTTCTCCTCCTCCTCTCTCTCTCTCTCTCTCTTTTTTTTATTCTTTTTTTACTTGAAAACACAACCAAAAAAATACACTTTTTCTATATTTAGATTTTTTCTCACGTATTGCATAATAAAAAAAATGGAAATTGTCAATACGTTTTCATTCTATATTTTATGTATACGAAATACAATAAAATATGATAAGCGTAGGAAAATAAGTTATACATATTTAAACAATGACAAATATAGAACGATTTGTGGACAAGTGGGTAATGTAAATAACAAATGATACACAGAATGTATAAAATATTTATAAATTCTAATAAACTGTATATGTATAAAAATAAAAAAATATTTTTTGAAAATGAATAGTCATTTATTTTGTGTCTTATTTTTTATTTATTGATTATTATTTCTCTCTAAATTTTAATTAGACAAAAACTCAAAATGTTTACTAATTTGAAATAGAGACTGACTTTTTGCTTTCGAATTAGTAAATTTTATTAATAAATAATAATTTCTACTAATTTATCAGTAAAATTTACTAATTCAAAAGCAAATTGTCAGTCACTAATTGAAGTTAGTAAACATTTTTATTTTTTAATAATTTAAATTTAGAGAGTATACTATATTTATACTTTTGTTTATTATTTATTTTATTAAATATTAAAAATGTAAGTAATTATTTATTTTATTTCTACAGGCACTGAGTGTTCGTAAAAATAAAATAGAAAATAATTTTAATTTTCCAAATAAAATTAATAATTGAATTAATTATTATTTCGAAAATGAAATATGAATCTTATTTGAAAAATTATTTCTGGAAAACTTATTATAAAATATAAAATAATTTCAGAAAATGTGTAAAAATAAATAAAGAAATCGAAATTTGTTTCCTTGAACTGCTTATTTGAATGTTTCTTTCCGCAAAATTTATATATTTTCTTTTTACAAATCACATTGCTCTTTTGACTCTAAGTGCGATAGAGGATAAAATTTCGCCTCAAAAAAGAGAAGAAAAATTAGGAAATTGATATTATCCACGTGAGAGATTTTGAAAAAGGAAATTTACACGTATCGAGGAGGTCAAACGTATCTTTTAGAAAGGATTTTATTGAAGTAGTGAAACTGCGATTCTTTTGGACATAAATTCTCGTGCTTCTTGGGAAAAAAGCAATTTCAAAGAAGTTTAAAATTTTAAATTCTTAAGTATTCTTTCACCCCTTCTTGTAAAATGAAGACGACCCTGAGAAATATATAAATATAATGCCCTCATATGAAGCTATTACATCCTTTACATTTTTAAATTTCTTTTTCAAATTCCTTTTTCATTTTTTTTTTTTTTTTTATTTATTTTTGCTCAGAAATTTTTATCAAATTGTCAAGAATACGTTGAATATTTTTTCTATTTCTGGAAAGAAAATGTAGATTGTAAATTTGTAAAAAAAAACAGAAAAATTTATAAGGGAAAAAATATTAAAAAATTAGATCTCCAACTATTTTATATTAATTTTGTAGTCTGCTAAAAATTTAAAAAATATTTTTTTTTAAATTATTCAGTTATTTTTTATTTTGGAGAATAATTATTCAACTATTTTTAATTATGACCAATTATTATTTAATTATTTTTAATTATAAATCAAAATTATTCAATTATTTTTATTCAAGAAAAATTACTATTCGATTATTTTAAATTATCAATAAAAATTATTTGATTATTTTCAATTCTGAATAAAAATTGTTCAACTATTTTCAATAATAATTTTATAATAATCGTTTAGTTAATTTTAATTATATTTTTGTGGACTACATTATAAAATATTTGAGAAAAAATGTATAATATTTCTATTTTTAAAAACCTTTTTTTTTTAATTTAAAAATTTATAAATATTCTTTTGTAGAAGATGGTTTAAAAAGAAAGGATGTATTTCACAGTTGATATATCGGTCCTCCAGGGTTATTTTCGCGCACCCTTGCACAATGTAAATGCCTCCTTTGAGGAAAAATATTTTTAACACGTGAATTTTTCAAAACAAAGTTGCAAATACAAAAGAATAAAAACAGAACAAAACGAAACGCAAAATTCCTTAAATTAAAAGGATTCTTTTTTTCAGGTAAATTTTAATGGTTTCTCAAAATTAGAAAAAATTAAATGAAAAAAGTAATAAATAAATTATCAGTAAAAAATGTAATAACTGAATAATACAAAAAATATTTAATAAACTAAATAATAAAGAAAAAAACGTAGTAACCATATATAAATTCAAACGAGTATCAAATAAATAATAAATATAAATGTTGGGTAATAAATAAAAAAATATTTATTGAAAAAATAATAAATATACATAAGTAACAAATAATATAAGTAGTAAACAAATTGAAAAAAATAATAAATATATAAGTAATTGATAAGTAATAAAAATATAGAAATAATAACAATAAAAATAAAAAAACAATAAATAGAAAAACAATAAAAAATAAAAATAATTATAAATTAATAATAAATCAATAAATATTAAATTAATAATTTAATTAACTAATTAACTAATTAATTAAGAGGATAGATTAAATGAAAAGAAATTAAATAATAACGAAAAAAAATAATGATATAAATATGCAAAATGTAAATACATTACGCATCGTTTGCCCGTAAACAATCACATATTGAATGGACTACTATTGTTGTCATTGTTTCATGTACGTGAATAAATATTGAAATATTTGATTAAAACGATTGTAATTTTGACTTATCAATATTTCCTTATCCGATTTCTCATCTCTTCAAGGCAAGTAACTACGTATTATACATTATTGTTCCTATATACAACAAAAACATATTGTACATAAACTTTGTTATAAACTATGATTAATATGAAAAACTTTTCAAGATTATCGAGATGCACGCGAATAAATTTTTAAATATGTTTTTTTTTGTGCTAAAGAAAAAATTCGAGGTCACGTGAAGAAAAAAAAGTTCGTGCAAGTAATAAATATAATTTGACAAGAAAGTTTAAAAAAAAGATTGTTATTATTAGTTTTAGTTTGTTTATTAATAATATATAATTTAGAAATTACATCCTACTATTATTTAAAATTATTACTTTTATTATTTTGAATTATTAAATTCTCATCAAGAATGAAAAATTATTGTTGATAATTTATGCTGATATTTATATTAAATGTTAATTTACATTAATAAATTTATTCTCTGTAATTATTTTGCATTATTTATATTAATTTTTTTATACTAGAAATATTATGAAAATGTTACAAAAAAAAATTCTTTAAAAGATAAATCTTAAAAAAAGAAATTAAAAAAAGTCATTACGAATTTTAAAAGATATTAATACATTTTTTTTTGTAATTTATAATAAAAAAAATCAATATTTAATCTTGTAAAAATATCGCATTCACTCTTAATGAGTTCATAAATGAATGTGACTTAAAATTATCAGGAATTATCGTTAATAAATCATTGTAAAATAATAATCAAAAAGAAAATTTTCTGATCGGCCTGAGTCATGAAACATTTTGCTCCACATTTCTTCGATAATTGTATTATTGTTTTCTTATACTAATTTGATAAAAACATGCGGGAAAATATTAAAATAATTTTTTTTACATTAACATTTTCCATATGGAGAGAAAATTTGAAATTTCTTTTTTATAGGTATCCCTTTTTATTTAATATTGCTTCTATAATATTTCACTATTTTAGCATAGAATTTGCGTAATATCAAAGTCTTTACAGATTCCATAAATTCTAAAGCCGTGGGAAATAATTTCCAGACGCCGATATTCATATATATATATATATATATATATATATAATATGTAGATTTTATATTCAAATGTAGACATTTCACACCCTACAATTCTAATATTTTATTTTAAAAGTGTTATTATATTTTTTATTCTCGTAAATTTTTGTTTAAATTTGAAACTTAATTTTGTAATTAAATTTGGCAAATTTTTTCCACTTTTTTACCTAATGTAAAATTTTATTTAACTTTTTTGGTTTAAAAAAAATTGAATAAAGAAAAATTCGTTTAATTAAAAGATTATTATTAAAATAAAGTATTAAATGAAAAGAAATAGAAATTAATTAAAAATTAAATAACTTTCGTAGGTGAATGAATTTAAAAAAAAGAAAAATTACATTTGGAAATATAAAGAAAATTGTAATTAGTTTCATTTGGTATTAAAATATAATTAATTTAAGAATAAAAATTGAATATAAATTTTTACCTATACAGTAAAGAAAAGATTATATAGATATTAATAATAATTAACAAACTTAATAAAATCAATTAAAGGAAGTTAATAACTCCAGTGTTTAAACTTCTTTTCTGTTATATTTAAAAATTGATAAACAAAATAATTATTATTCTTTTGATATCTTAATTCAATAAATGATTTAGAACACAAACGAGTGTATAAAAAGACCTTCTCCTTTTTTCTCCACTGTCATTTTTAAATCTCAGTGGAAAATTAAATTATAATCATGATAAAATTTTTCATTATTAGTGTCTTTATTACTCCAATAATTGGCAAGTATAAAAATCAAAATTCTTTCCTCTTTTAAAATAGAAAATAATTTTCCTCCTTTTACAAAAAAAAATAAATTCTTTCGTTTATTATTTTAATTAAATTTTTTTTTCCTTACAACTTTGACTAATTTTTTTTTCCCTCTTTTTTTTGTAAAACAATTTTTCCCTTTCACTGGCGTATGCTATTTACTTGAGGGGCAAAAAAAAATGTCACGCTCAGAGATAAATTTTCAAAGAGAGTCAACTCGGACAATCTCTAATAAATTTCACAAAAGCGACGTTGGTAGAAAAAAAAATTGGAAAATCCGGTAACGATTCGGATACTATAAAAGTGTAAAAAAAAAATAAATAAATATGTGATAATAAAATAAAGTGAAGTATGTTTTATAGAGAAAAATAATAAAACTTTATTGTACAGTATTTCTTTGTGGAGGAAAATTTTTAAAATATTTAAAAAAGAAAGTTTTGGGAAAAATGTGGAAAATTTCTTTTTTTTTTACAGCAAATACGGAGGGAAATCTCGATTCGAGAGTAATCGGTGGTGAAAGAGTTGAAATAACCCAAGTACCATATCAAGTGAGCGTACAAAAATACACGAGACATCATTGCGGTGGAAGTATAATATCAAAAAATTTCATTCTCACGGCAGCGCACTGTGTTTTGGAATTAAAACCAAAAATTTACAGGATACGCGCTGGTACGACAAATTGCAATGATGGTGGCACTTTACATCAAGTTGTGAATATAATAAGACACAATATTAGCTTCAGTGAGAATGGTTTTCCCTATAATGACATTGCCCTATTAGAGGTGAGACCAAATTTAAAATTTGACACGACACGAAAATCGATTACTCTCAATGCAATGAGAAAAGAAATTCCCGATGGTAGTGAAGCACTTGTCAGTGGTTGGGGTCGTACTCGTACCACCGCAACGCCAATTTATCTCGAAGCGGTCAATGTGCCGGTGTTAAATTTAAAAGACTGTAAAAAGGCGTACGCGATATTGGGAAAATTGCCGAAAGGTCAAATTTGCACTATGGATATTGAAGGTGGTAAAGATTCATGTCAGGGCGATTCCGGCGGTCCATTGGCATTCAATGATCAATTGATTGGTATTGTTTCCTGGGGAAGTGGTTGTGGCGTGATTGGTAATCCCGGAGTTTATACCGAGGTCGCTTACTTCGCCGATTGGATTCGACAGAATGCTGATATTTAATGGGCGAAAAGATTGCTGAAGAAAAAAAAGAAGAACAAGAAGAAAAAATATTCAAAGACGAAAAAAGAAACGAATTTAAACACAATAAAACAAAATAGAAGGAGATTAAAATTAAATAAAACGGTATAAGTCGAAATTAAACGAAATAATAAAGATTAAAACGAAATAAAGCGAATTAAAACAAATTGAAACGAAATAAAACGAATTAAAACAAATTAAAACGAAATAAAACAAATTAAATCGAAATAAAATGTAATAAAACGTAATGAAACGTAATAGAACATAATAAAATGTATTAAAATATAATAAAGCGAAATTAATCAAAATAAAACGACATAAAACAAAATAGAACACAATTAAACGTAATAAGACAGGGAAAGTAAATAAAAAGTGATTAAACAATGAAGAAATGAAACAAAACAAACTGACACGAAATAAAATGAATTAAAGCAAGATAAACTGAAATGAAACTTAACAAAATTAAATAAAACGAAATGAAACAAAATAAAACCACATAAAATAAAAAAGAACATAATTTAGGCAACAGAACTGAATTAATCAACATAAAACGAAATAAAACAAACATAACATTATAAAACGAAATAAAACGTAATAAAAGACATTAAATAGAAAATAAAAAAATAAAAGAAAAAAAAAGACAATAAAACGGAATTAAACAACATAAAACGAAAGGAAATAAACTAAAACGAAATGTAACATAATTAAACATAAAAAATGAAATTAAATAAAATACAACAACATTAAATCCCATAAAACAAAAAAAACAAAATTAAAGACAATAAAATAGAATTAAACATAACAAAATGAAATTAAATAAAATACAACAAAATAATACCATATAAAAAAGAAACTAAAACATAATTTAACAAAATAAAACGAAATGAAACGAAATAAAACCACATAAAACAAAAAAGAACAAAATTGAAGGCAATAAAATGGAATTAAATTAAACAAAATGCAATAAGATAAAATAAAATAAAATAAAACTACATAAAAGAAACTAGAACATAATTTAACGAAATTAAACGAAATTAAATAAAACAAAAAAAAAAATAAAATCACATAAAAAATAGAATACAATAATTAAGCACAATAAAACAGGATAAAATTAAATGAAATAAAGTAGAAACTAATTAAATAATTTTAAACGTAACAAAACATACCAAAACAAAATGAAAGATAAAAAAAATATTATAAAATGACATTAAAGAAAATAAAAGAAAATGAAATATAATAAAACAGGATAAAATTAAATAAATTGAAACAAAACGGAATTAAAAAACAAATTAAATCGAAATAAAACTAATTTAAACAAAATAAAAAATAAAAGAGCAAAATAAATCATAGTAAAATATAATAAAACACTAAATAAAATAAAATTATTATAAATTAAATTATATTTAATGCAACAAATTATGTAAAAAAAAGTAAAACCAAATTAAAAAAGTTAAATTAAATAAAACAGAATAAAATAGAATAGAATAAAATAAAATTAATTTTTGTATACATGTTCGAAAATTTAAAAATTGTACATGACAGAAAAAAATAATCATTTGCAACTGTTTTTTAATATTATTTTTTATTATTGAAGAAAGAGTACATAAAAGTAGTTAAAATTCATCGTACATTTAACATAAAATTTCAAATTGTAGAAATATTGTATTTTTTATTTATTCAAAATAAAAACATTTTTTGAAAAAAATTAATTTTTTGATAAAAAAAAATTTTTCTGATGATTTTTAAAAATCTTTTTGTCAGTTTTGAGATATTTTTGCTTCCTCTACGTGAAACCAAAATAATTAAACATGTATTATTGTACATAAAAATAAAATAATTTTTTTTATTAAAACCAATTACTTAATATTACTACCATATACTATTATTATTATTAATTATTACAAAAAATTTATAGAACTTTTTTTTGTTAGTATCGTAGAAGTAAAATTCCTTTCTCACACACTCGTGACACGAGAGAAAAAAAGATTATACAAAAATAATTTTCTTATCGCATTTACATTAATAGAATTTTCGTAATATAATTAATTAACAAATGTACATACCCGACAATATCAAATTATCAATGATAATTGTTAGCAGATTAGATTATTAAAATTAATATAATTATACGTAGCCTAATTATATAAATTGCGATTTCAGGCAGGTATAAATAAAAATTTTGATTAAACAGTTTGTCAGTAAAGTGTCTTTCACCAAATCAAACATGTTCAGAATTCTCGTGAGTCTCTTTCTATTGACGTTTGTCCCTGGTAAGTTTATTTTTAAATGTAAAACAAAAAATTATTGACTTTTGCCTCTATATATATAGTTACAATAATCAAGCAGAAAGAATAATTTTTGTTCGCAATCAAATTTCACTTTCAATTTAATTTTGTTCCAAAAGAAATGGAGAATTTTTCTTTTTCTAAAACTAATTTATTTTATGGACTCGTTTATTTTTTTCGTAAATAACTTTTTTTGTAATTTATTTTTCTTTAATTAATTAACTTTTTTGTAAGTAATTTACTTTAAGACTATTTATTTTTATAATTTTTGTTCTTTGACTACTTTTTTCATGTCATTAATTTACTTTATGGCTAATTTCGTTTTTTGTCACTAATTTATTTTTCTGTAACTAAATAACTTATTTTGCAACTAATTTACTTTAGGAATAATTTATTTTTGGAACTAATTTTATATTTTTCATAACTAATTTACATCGTAACTAATTTATTTAACTATGTAATTTATTTCTCTTTTAGTTTATAACTATCTTATTTTATGACTAATTTACTTTTTTGTTACTAATTAATTTCATAATTTATTTTTATTTCGGTATTTTTTTCAAGGACCTTAATTTTCATTTTTAAAATGATTTTTTGTAACTAAAAAATTAGTAAATAAATATTAGTCGATTTAAAAAATTATTGTTAATTAATTGGCGAAAAAATACTAGAAAAATATTTATTAAAAAATCGGTTATAATTTATAAATACTAATTACTAATTAAAAAAATTAATTGAATAATTTTTTTGACAGCGAGTCTAACTCGAGATTTGGATGGAAGGATAATTGGCGGCAGGGAAATTCCAATTGAATTGGTACCCTATCAAGTGAGCCTGTTCGTGGGAAAAATATTCTTCTGCGGCGGTAGTATAATATCAAAAGATTATGTCCTCACGGCAAAACATTGCATCACCAATAGAGATCCAAAAAATTTTTACATTCGCTCTGGAAGTGCTGAGGTCGATCGTAATGTGACTATCCATAAAACATTGAGATTCATCACATACAAACCAAAGGTCACATCAAAATTAATTCCCGATATTGCCCTAATTCAAGTGTACCCGCCATTTGAATTTAATTCCAGACAAGCGTCAATTGAAATTTTCCATTCAAAGGAAGAAGTTTCAGCGGGAAGTGTTGCATTTGTCACTGGATGGGGTAATACGTCGCCTCGCTTTAGAAGTAAACCAAATACATTGCAAGGTGTATTGGTACCAATGATCAGTAAGGAGACATGCAATAAGGCGTACAAATTTCGTGGTGGAATTGCTGACGGTGAAATTTGTGCCGTTCATCCTGATGGTGGTAAGGATGCTTGCCAAGGTGATTCTGGTGGTCCATTGGCTATTAATGGAAGATTAGCTGGAATTGTTTCATGGGGTATTGGTTGTGCGAGAAAAGAATATCCCGGTGTTTATGTTGAGGTTGCTCATTATGCCGAATGGATTAGGGATAATATTGGTGAATGATGGAGAATTTTTTTTGTTTACGAATTAATTTTTCACTTTATTTATTTATTTAAATTGAATGTAATATTGTACATAGTAATTTTAAAGAGAATGTGTTTTTATAATAAATGTTTTGAATATCAAAGAATTTTTATTATTTTTCCCAGTCTTTTCCCTAACTTAATTCGAAATTTGACAAATTATTTTGTTCCTTTCGTTTACTTTTATTTTTCATTACTTCTTTTATTTGCTTTTTTATTATTATTGTTATTTACTTTAATTTAATTATTATTTGTATGTATTTTTTTATTATTTTTGCATTTATGTATCTTCAATTGTTTTGTATATTTTTAATTTTTATTATTATTTTAGTTCGATTAGATTATTTACCTAATATTACTTATTTGTTTCTATTATTTTAATTTTATATTTACTTTTATTACTTGAATTATTATTTACACCTACTGTTATTTACTAATTTTTGTTAATTTGGTTTATTTTAATTATTAACCTATTTTTATTTACTTGTATTTCTGTTATTTAAATTTTTTATTTTCCTTTTATATTTACTTTCATTTACTAATTTTTACTATTTTAGTTTGTATTGATTATTTACGTATTTATTTGTTTTTAATATTTGAATTTTTTATTTTCTTTTTTAGTTGAATTTATATTTTAGTTTACTTATTGTAATTACCAATTTATTACTTTATTATTTACCAATTCTTATTTGATTTTTTTTATTTTATTATTAATTTACTTTTTTATTCCAATTTTATTTTTATTTTTATTTTTAAACTGCCTTTTTATTATTTATTAATTAAATAAATTATTTTACATAATTAACTATAATAATTTGAATGTTTTTTCATTCATTCACTTTTTCTGTACCTCACACTCTGAAGTTGTCTTTTGTTTATAATTTTGTTTTTTGTTAACTTTAGATAGATTGTATAATATTTTATTTATTTATTATTATGTTATAATTATTTTTATTTTATTATTAATTCAAAATTGTAATGACAAATAAAAATCATCAAAATTTTTTTCACATCTTTTTATTGAAAACTAAAATTTTGTTAAATATTATGTTTTGTCAAATTGAAATTATGCAGATTTTTGTTCTTTACTTCTGAACAAAATTAGAAAATTGTTAAACAACTGTGATTAAGAAATACAAAATTTATTTATTTTGCATTATTTTTCTTTATGAATCACAATTTTTTTTAACAAAATTATTATTTTGTTTTAGAAAAAGAAGAAAAATATTTGCACAATTCCTATTTTTAATATTATTTTTGGAACAGGATTTTGCACAGGAATTAAGACATTAAAAAATTTCAAATTCAAACCTTTTTTTAAATTAAACAACTTATAAAAGTATTGTTATAAAACATGGAGAAATCGATTGCTCCGAGTCGAAGACTTTTAGTGATCGATTTCTTCATGTTTTCTATTAAATAAAAATTATTTTTTATGAAAATAGTAATTGAATTCCTTAAAAAAATTTTATTATTTATGAAAATAATTTAATGTTTGCATACAATTTAAAAAAAAATTTTTTTCATTTTAAACATAGTTGAATTTTATAAGAAGCATTTTAATTTTTTTGAAAATTGGAGAAGAATTTTGTTATTTATAAAGATAATTGGGATTTTTATGAGAATTTTTTTTCAAATTTTGAACATAGTTGAATTTTATAAGAAGAATATATCTATTTTTTTTTTAAATAATTGAATTTCTGCAATTATTTGTAACTTCTCCAAACTTGAATTTTTTTAGTGTTTTCAACAGAAATTTAAATTAGAAAATTTTTAATTTCTATTATTTTTAAAATTACTAATTTTATTTTAAAAAAAGGTAGAAATAATTGTTGCTGGTTTATATCTGAAAAATTATTGTTATTGTAATAATATTTCTTGGTATTAATTATGCTTTTTTGTAATAAATATTTTTGTTCTAAAAAAATATTGTCTCTGTAATATTTTTTTATAACAAATATTTTATTTTAAAAAAAAAATTGGTTTTGTAATAAATACTTGTATTCTTAGAATTTAATGATTCTGTAATAAATATTTTTCTTTTCTAAAAAACATTCTTTTTGCATTAAATTTAAAAAAAAATATTGATAATACTTTTCGGTAATAATATTTTTTTTAACAAATATTTTTTTTAAATATTCTTTTTGTAATCAATAAATAAATAAAAAGAAACTATTTACTAAAAAAAAACTTTTGCAAGAAAAAGGAAATGATATACAAGTCGATCAATATATTTCATTCAAGGAAAAACTGAATAATGAATTAATAATAAATAGTGGCATTATATAATTATAATATTTTAATATATTTATAATGTATAATTATATGTATAAACTCAGTGAAATTTACTTGAACTGATGCAATTGGAAATAGCGATGGTCAAATAATTGGAGGCATGGAAATTTCAATCGAGTGAGTTACCCACCATAAGTCAGTCTACGAAATGATGATCGACATAACTGTGGTGGAAGCATAATTTCCAGTACATATATTTTGACAGCTGCGAACTGTATTTCCGTCCTCAACATAACAGAATTTATCGTCCGCAACCGAGGTTCACAATATCACTCAACACACGTATAAACAGAGCTTTTATCATGTTCCTTTTTTGTTAATTTTTATATAAATAAACCGTGAAAAATAATTATTTTTTTTATTAATTTTTTTCAATCATTTTTTTTTCTTAGCATTTTTTATTAATATTTTTTGCAATTTTTTTAATAGGTAGAATTTTTTAAAAATATTTTTTGTAATTTTTTTAATTCATATTTTTATTAATACTTTTAAAAATATTTTTTATTATTAAAAAAATTTAAAAAAAAGAAAAAAAGGAAAATTATAAAAAAATATAACTAATTGTAGTCAGTCTTTATAAATAAATAATTAAAAATAATTTACCATAATTTTTCAACAACATAATAATAAATAAAAAAAAAAATTACAACTTCTTTTTGAACAAATAAATTTTAACTTCTTCTTTATTACCTACACTAAAACTAAACAAAGATGTGTAATAAATTTAGTTAATTTCCTACCTTCTAATTATATAATAATTCAAGCTGAATGAAACTCACCTGTAACAAAAGAAAAAGATAATATTTTAGTTTCAAGTTTTTGAAGTATTGTAGAGACGATTATAATTTATATTGTCTAACTTGACTCGTTTCAATTTACAAATTTTAAAACTTTTGTAATATAAAATACATAGAAACTTTTTTTTTATCTTTTTTTCAACATAAATGTTGATAATTAAACACTGTTTATACAATGTCATTTTACTCCCTTAATGCTTGCCGATTTCAAACATTTCCGAGCATTTGCTTAACGAGAATTACTCTAATTAAGGTGAAAATAATTACCACTGTTTAGGAATATTATACCATTTCGTCAGTGATCACGTGTAGACTGGACAATAAATAAGAACTTTTAAGTATGTCAGAAATGTGTTTTCTCTCTAGAATTTCGAAGAGATTAAAAAAATAATTGTATAAATTCCCTGTAAATATTGAGATTAAATATTATTTATATGTCGCAATGAAAAGAAATTTTGACTAAAAAATCTAGCTTTTGGTGACAAAAGAATTTTTTTGCAATAATAATGAAATTATTACTATTGTAATTATATAATTTTATGATTTTATAATTTTATAATTATAAATTATTTATTTGAAAACTTATACATTTTATATTTATTTTAATTTTTTGTTTACATATTTGCATATTTACAGATTTTCCACTTATTTTATTTTATTATATTTTGCATTTATATATTAAAATATTTTATATTTCTCATTCTCTATCTTTATTTTATTTTTTAACAATTAAAAATTTTTTTTTATTTTAATTTTTACATTTTTACAATTTGTAAAAGTTCTAATTAATTTTATTTAATATATAGATTGTATCAATATGAAAGTACAATATTTTGATAGAAAAATGAAAAGAGAAATTATAATAAACTCGTGAAGTCGAGGGGAACAAAAGAAATTTAATAATAATACGAGGAATGATTAGGTGTGTGAGGAGAATTTAATTATCTATCGATTCTCAGTTATTCAAATACCTTAGTGTGTATAAATTGTCAGTTCCACCATACACGAGGCTTCTAATTAACATAAGGAATATTTTCCCAGTTTGAAAATTATTTGTTGGACAAAATGTTAAAGTTTCTGTTAATAATTGGTTTATTTCACATTTTTGCAAATGGTAAGTCATCATCATCATTTTTTTTTGTATTCACCTTTTTTCATCTATTTTTCTGTGTTCTATTTTCAAATATAATATAGAATTTAATTACTGTTATTTATTCTAAACGAGTGTAGAAATAAATAAACTTTGATTTTTATTTGTTTACTTTTAATTTTAATTTAATTTTATTATTTCTTTATAGATATTTAATATTTAATTTGTTATTCATTTTTTTACCTATCTTATAATTACAATATAATTGACATTTTTTTGCTTTAATTGATTTTGTTTTATTTTATTTATTTGTAATTTTTTATTTAGTTATTTGTTTATTTATTATTTATTTACTATTTAGTTATCAATTTTTTTGCACATTTTCCTTGCGGTCACATAAAGAAACCATAATTAGTTTACAAAATTGGTTAGTAATAGTAGTTGGTAAAATTAGTTATTAAAAATAGTTTGTTAAAAAAAATTTTTTAAATTAAACATTAAAAATTTGTTAAAAAATTTTATTTAACTTTATTTTATTCCATTTTATATTTACTTATTTAATTAATTTTTTTATCATTTTTTTTCTATTGAAATTCATTGAACTTTTGAACCATGATCAGCGGAAATAGATAAAATTTTTGTTTCAAAAACGTGAAAATGATAATGATCAGAATACTATCAGCTTATCATTTTTATTTGAAGAATTTAAACGAAATTTATTGAAATGAAAATGGTTGTTATTATTATTATTATTATTATTATTATTATTATTATTATTATTATTTCCTTCTTTATTTTTATTTTATTTATGCAATTTTATTTATTTATTTATTATTTTTATTTCTATGTTTCTTGTCATTTTTTTCTGTATTTATTGATATTGTTATTTGTATTAATATTTCAATTTGAATTTTTACATTTTTAAATAATTTAATTTTATCAATTTTCAAACAAATAAATTGAATATTTAAATTTAAATAAATAAAAATAGCAAAATAAAATTGGAATAGTAGGTGAAAAATTTTCTACACCAATTAAAATCAACTCGGAAGTAAAAGTTTATTCAACAAAATAAAAATGCATTTTAAATGTGACGTGCTTAAAAGAAAAACGTCTTAGATGTAAACGAATCATTAGTAATAGTAATTAATTCTCTTTTTGTAGTTTTACTTCAAAATTAATTAATTATTACTTGTTATACAAGCAAATACAATAATATATACTTAAATATTATAATTACTAAATAATAATTAATTTATAATAATTAATTACAATTGTAATAAAAACAATATTTAATGACGACTTAATTATCAAGTTAATTTTTTTTTTTACTTTTCTCTATTTTGTTTAAAAAATTTAAACCTAAATTAGTTCATCTTTCACCACTTTGTTAATTGTTTATAACAATACACAAAGCATTTTATAAATAATAAATAAAAATATCCAACACCAAATTATAACAAATAATATTATTTATTATTCTATTTTAACAAAATTCTAATAGAAAACTGTTTATAACATTTTTTTTACACTTTTTTAATTTATTTAAACAATTTTTCCCTAAAGTAATACAGATAGATTAACAAAATCTTCTTTTTTTGATAATCTATTTCTTTACATTAAATAACATTTGTTAATTAAAATTCAATTATCTCACATTTTATTATTTGTTTATAACAATTTAATAAACAATTTTCAAATTGCAAATCAAAATAAATAGGTAAACGAATACAATTTTCTTAAGAATCTACTTGTTTATATTAAATAAAGTTTAATAATTTAAATTTGGAACCAGATTCGTCTCGTATTTTATACTTTGTTTAGAACAATTTAATAAACAATTTATAAGTTACGAATAAAAATAAATAGAAGGATACAATTTTCTGAATAATCTGTTTGTTTATATTATAAAATTGGGTAACTAAAGTTCGAAACTGCAATTATATCATATTTCATTATTTCTTTATAACAATTTAATAAACAAATTGTACATTACGAGTAAAAATAAATAAACGAATAAAATTTTCTAAAAATCTAGTTGTTTATATTAAATAAAATTCTTTAATGAAAATTTGAAAACTGCAATTATCTCTTGCTTTATTATTTATTTATAACAATTTAATAAACAATTTACAAAATACGAATAAAAATGTTGAAAAAAGAGTAAACATTTATTAAGAATCTACCTTTCAATTTATATCAAATGATGTTTGTTAAATTTAAATTCGATTATCTCACATTTCATTATTTGTTTATAACAATTTAATAAATAATTTTTAAATTGCGAATAAAAATAAATAAACGAATACAATTTTCTTAAAAATCTATTTGTTTACATTAAATAATGTTTATTAATTAAAATTAGAAACTCCAGTTGTCTCATATTTTATTATTTGTTTATAACGATTTAATAAACAATTTAGATTTTACAAATAAAAATAGAAAAGCTATAAAAAATTTCTTAAGAATGTTTTAATTTATACTCAATTAGTTTTTTTAAAATTTAATTGTCTTAGGTTTTATAATTTGTTTACAACAATTTAATAAACAATTTACGATTTAAGAATAAAAATAACTGATTTAATTCAATTTTCTTAAAAATCTATTTGTTTACATTAAATGATGTTTATTAATTAAAATTTGAAACCCCAACCGTCCCATATTGTACTATTTGTTTATAACAATTTAATAAACAATATACAAATTACGAATAAAAATAAATAAACTAGTACACTTTTCTTAGGAGTCTATTTGTTTATATTAAATAAAGTCTGTTAATTAAAATTTTAAACGTTAAAAAATTATATGTAATTAATGTAAGATTTTTATTGTTATCGTTTTTTAATTGTTAGTGATTTTTTAATTAAATTATTGTTTTAATTAATGAATAAATATAATGAAAAATATAAAAAGTATAGTAAAAACAAATCAGAAATTGAAAATTTTTGATATTCTACTAAATATCATTTAGAATTAAATTATCATTAATTAATTATAAATTAATTTGTAAATATAAAAAAAATTTAATTATTTTTATATTTAAAAAAATTTTTAATTACTTAAAAATATAAAATTCAAACATTTAAATAACATGTTATATTGAAAAATAGAAGTTTTATTGACAAATTTTTCTTTTCTTATTTTCAGCGATGGAGATTACTTACGATTATAGTGAAAGAATAGTCAATGGTTATGACATTAAAATCGAAGAAGTACCATATCAAGTTGGTATATTTTATAAAAATTTATTTGCCTGCGGTGGTTCAATAATTGCTGATAAATTTATTTTAACAGCAGCCCATTGTCTTGGCAATGATAAATTAATGATACACGCCGGATCAAGTAAATTGAAGAAGGGCGGTAGTTATCATACGTCAGTTAATGTGACAGTACACGAAAATTATAATCAAGATACTTATCAATATGATATTGGTCTGATTGAAATTCATCCCTTATTGCCATATGACGAGACACGTAAACCAATTAAACTATTAAAAGATCCCACGCTCTTAAAAGAGGGCGATATGGCTTTGATCACTGGCTGGGGAACTGATTCTGAGGGTGGTGAAATTGCCACATATCTTCAAGCAGTACAAGTGCCAATAATAAGCCATAAATCGTGCAGAAAACAATATGGCATTGAGAGTGAAATTAATGAGAGGCAAATATGCGCTGGCTATCCAGAGGGCAAGAAGGATAGTTGTCAAGGTGATTCCGGTGGTCCATTGGTTGTTCGTGATCAACTTGCCGGTATTGTATCCTGGGGCAAGGGTTGTGCGAGAGCTGGACTTCCGGGCGTTTATACCAATGTTGCTCATTACATTGATTGGATCGAGAAACATACTGGTAAAAGATTTCATTAAAAAAAAACATTTAAAAAAAGGAAGAATAATATTCTCAAAGGAAAAAATTAATTATTATCTACTCATTCCTCTAATTATAATTGAAGTAGTTAATTATTTCTTTAGTAGCGAAATTTGTTTCACTAATTCAGTTGTAAGAGAGTAATTTTTTACGAAATGTTGTTTATTTACTTGTTGAAAAAATTTTGTTTAGTAAATTTTCTAGATAGTCGAAATATTGCGGAAATATTACTGCAATATTGCAGAAACTCTTCCAATAACAAAATTTTCAACATTGTATTAGTTATTATAGTATTAATCATATTATATTATTACCATTGTTATATTATTACCATTCTTATATTATTACCACTATTATATTATTACCATTATATTATTACCAATATTATATTATTAATAGAAATTTTATATTAAAAAAATTATGAGCAAAATTCCTGCAAGCTTGCTACAAGCATTAAGGCATATTAACATAAATCTGAAGCTTGCAGAAATCATGCAAGCTTTCAATATAAGCACGCTGCAAGATTATGTTCCAATTGGGTTACTGTACTCACAACATAATATCAGACAATATTATTTGTTTACTTTAAGAGGCTAATTTACGATTTTGATTTGTTTACTTCTATAATTAAAAGAGAAGGTAATGAGAGCAAGTATCTTATCATTATCTATCACCTACATTCATACATTTGTCTGATATTATATTTGGTTAAATTGTTAAATTTTTATTTTTACGTTTTTTTCAAACTTTTAAAGTATTTTAAAAGAAAAGAAAATATATTTGGAAATATTATGTATATTATTATTAATATTGTTAAACGTCGTTTTTGTATAAAAAAAATATGCAATAAATGTTGAAATTAAAAAATTTTATCATCTCTTTTTTTAGGTAATGATAATAATAATTATAAATCACGTTCAATGAATAATCGTAATTTGAGAGACAGGAGGAATGATTAGATTTAATGTTTTGATTAAATTACTTATTGATAATTCGTGAACCCGACAATTTCACGTGCAATCCATTATAGATAAGGATTTTATATAAAAGAGTGAGAATTTTTTTTTAGATGATCATTAAATATTATTTTATTAGTTGGTACTCAAGATGTTTAAACTGCTTTGCTTGTTCGGCTTTTTGGTGTTCGCAAGTGGTAAGTACTCTAATTTTTTATGCACTAGTTATTTCGATATTTTGTTATTGGTCAATTTTTATTATGTGCTAATTTTGACTTTATGAATTTTTTATTAATATTTGGCACTTTTTGTTATTTTATTAACTATTAATTAGTGTTTTGAACTAATTGCTACTTTATTAAATGTTTATTATTATTTTAAACTAATTATATTATTTAATTCATTGTCCATTACTATTTTGAATTGATTGTTTTTTTATTAATTGTTAATTAACATTTTCTACTAATTACAATAATTAAAAAAAGTACTAAATTCTCAATTCTACATTCTACATTCTACATTTTCTACATTCTCAATTCTCTACAAAGAAAATTATTTTATTGTCCAATTATAAGTAGCAAATATTTTTCAATAATTTTCTTTATTTCGTTTAAACAATTGTTTTCAAGACATAAATAAATTTAAAACCAAACATAAATCGTTTTCCACCTATGAATCTTATTGCTTTTTTAAAATAGAATTAGTTAAATAAAAATTGAAAACAAAATTATCTCAATTTTCATGATTTTATTTATAACAATTTAATAAACGGTTTAAAAGTTATGAATAAAAATAATTAATCATACCTATTATATTTCTGATTTTATTATTATTATTATTATTATTACAAATATTAATCTATTGATTATTTAGTTTTGCAATTTATTAATAACAATAAATAATTAATAATACTAATAAATTGTTTTTTAATAATTATTAAGAAATTATTTTTTTTATTAATTTTTATTAAGATTTTGCCCAAAATCGAGAAGCATATTACTTAAATGTTTTTTCATTTTTCTATAGTTTGTTTAAACAACTTAAACCAAAATTATCTCACATTTATTTACATTGTTTATAACAATTCACTAAACATTTTATAAATAATAAATAAAAATATTGTTATTAAACTTTTTGACAAAGTTCGAATAGAAAAGGGTTTATAAATTTTTTTTACACTTTTCTTTAATTTGTTTAAACAATTTTTCCCTAAACGAATACAAATTAAAGACTAACAAAATCTCCTTCTTTTAATAATCTATTTGTTTATATTAAATAAAATTTCCTAATTAAAAAACCAAAATTATCTCATATTTCATTATTTATTTATAACAAATTTAGTAAACAATTTTCTTAAGAATCTATTCGTTTATATTAAATGAAGTTTATTAATTAAAATTTGAGACTGGAATTACCTCATATTTTATTATTTATTTATAACAATTTAATAAACAATTTACAAAATACGAATAAGAATTAAGAAAAACAATTAAATTTTCTTAAGAATCTATTTGAATATAATAAATAAAATTTGTTTATTAAAATTTGAAATCGAAATTATCTCAAGTTTCATAATTTGTTTATAACAATTTAATAAACAATTTCAAAAATACGAATATAAATAAATAATAATGTATACAATTTTTTTAGAATTCTATTTGAATATACAAAATTAAATTTTTTAATTAAAATTTAAAATCATAATTTCCCAAAGTTTCATAATTTGTTTAGAACAATTTAATAAACAATTTACAAATAATGAATATAGATAAATAAATGAATAAAAATTTCTTAAAAATCTATTAGTTTATATTCAATAAAGTTTGTTAATAAAAATTTGAAAACGGAATTATCTTATACTCTATTTGTTTATAACAATTTTACAAACAATTTACAAAATGGGATTTAAAATTAACGAATTTCAATTTTAACGATTGAACTAATTTCTTAATGATAAGAATAATATTTTGTAGTAGTAATTAATTATTAATAATAATTAATTAGTAATTAGTAATAATTAATTAATAATTAATATTAATTATTTAAATTTTAATTTTTTCCTTTTTTCGATTAAATATAATTTCCTAACACTAAAATTTAAAAATTTTCATTGACAGCGAATCCAACGAATCGATTCGATGGAAAAATTGTTGGCGGTCGTGACATTGACATCACAATTGTACCACATCAAGTGAGTCTATTTAGAAGTGGAATATTTTTATGCGGTGGTTCAATAATTTCGGAAAATTACATTCTCACTGCTGGACATTGCGCGACTGGTTCTTCCTATACAGTAAGAGCCGGTTCTAATTACATCGGCAAAAATGGTACCGAACACGAAGTTACAGAGGTAATACGTCACGAAAATTATGGAACAAATAAATATGGAATAATCAACAATGACATTGCTCTAATGAAAGTTGAACCACCGTTTGAATTTGATGGAACGCGAAAACCAGTTTCCTTAATGCAAAAAGGTGCAACATTAGCTGCCGGTCATCGTGGTTTAGTCACTGGCTGGGGAAGACTCACTGAAGGTGGTTCAGCGCCAAAACAACTTCAAGGCGTCAGTGTACCATTAATCAGTAAGGAATCATGCCGTGAGCAATATTCATTTATCGGCGATTTGCCCGAGGGTCAAATTTGTGCCGCATACCCTCAAGGTGGAAAGGACGCTTGTCAAGGTGATTCCGGTGGTCCCTTTGTTGTTGACGGTTATTTGGCTGGTATTGTGTCGTGGGGTGTTGGTTGTGCCAGACCATCGATGCCCGGTGTCTACACTGAGGTCTCGTATTTCAGAGATTGGATCAAGGAACACAGTCAACTATAAGATCTTTTCCCCTTTCTTCCCATATGAACAAACTATAGACGTATACCAAAGTGAAAAAAAATTCAAGTACAAAATACAAAAAAGTAGTTTTAGGCTCAGTGTTATTGTTTTTTTCTCTCTTTTTTTTGTCTTAATGGAGAAAAGTTATTGAAATTGATAATAATTTTAGAAAATAAAAATAATTTAATAATTTAATTATTTAATTAATCAATTATTATTGTAATTAATTAATTAATTAATTAATTATTATTATAATTATTATTATTATTAATAATAATAATTAATTACAAATAAAAATAAAAAATAAATACAAATTTTTTTAAGAACCTATTTCTTTATATTAAATGAAGTTTGTTAATTAAAGTTTTAAACAACATTTGTCTAATATTTTATTACAATTTGTTTATAACAATTTAATAACAATTGACAAATTACAAATAAAAAAAAATAAACGAATACAATTTTTTTAAGAATCTATTTCTTTATATTTAATACAGTTTGTTATCTAAAATTTTGAACCACAATTGTCTCATATTTTATTATTTGTTTATAACAATTTAATCAACAATTACAAATTAAAAATAAAAATAAATATACGAAAAGAATTTTTTTAAGAACCTATTTCTTTATATTAAATGAAGTTTGTTAATTAAAGTTTTAAACCACATTTGTCTAATATTTTATTACAATTTGTTTATAACATTTTAATAAACAATTGACAAATTACAAATAAAAAAAAATAAACGAATACAATTTTCTTAAGAATCTATTTATTTATATTAAATACAGTTTGTTATCTAAAATTTTGAACCACAATTGTCTTATATTTTATTATTTGTTTATAACAATTTAATCAACAATTACAAATTAAAAATAAAAATAAATAAACGAGTAGAATTTTCTTAAGAATCTATTTGTTAATATTAAATAAAGATTTTTAATTAAAATTTTAAACCGCAATTATCTCGTATTTTATTGTTTGTTTATAACAATTTAATAAACAATTTACAAAATTCGAATAAAAATTAATAAACATATAAAATTTTCTTAAGAATCTTTTTGTTTATATTAAATAAAGTTTGTTAATTAAAATTTTAAAAAACTGCATATTATTATATAATATTATTATTATTATTATTTATTATTATTATTATTCATATTTATACATAATAATTAATATATTGTTATTAGAAGGAATTTACAATTAGCAGTAAATAATATAATAAAATGTCTTCTTGTGTAAATAAATTTTTTTTATAAATAATTTATAAATGGTTAAATTACTATTTTTTGTGCGTAATTTAGTGAACTAGGAATTATTTTCAAAGTTAAAGAAAATTGCTTCTACTCGACCAAAGTCGATCAATAAGTCTGATTAGATTAAATCATTTATTCAAACGTATAACGAAATTTCCGGTGCGAATCGCACACGTGCTCGAGATAATATTAATTTCTTATAAATACAATATTTCAGTCTAGCATAAAAATAATGAAGGGCAATAAAATTAATAATTTATATTCGAACTCGTTTTCTCTCGTTTTTTTTTCTTTTTTTTGCAGAATTATAAAATTGGTTAAATAATTTTCTTAAATTAGGAATATTCTATTTACATAAAGTTCTTCTTTATTTAAAAGCAGAACAAAGATTCTGACTATGTTCCCGTAATTAATTAATTAATCATTGATCATAATTTATGTAATAAAAAATTAAATTATTATAAAATATTAAAAACTTAAAAAATTAAATTACCATAAAATATTGAATATATTTATCATAAAAAATTATTGAACAATTCCCTAGGGATTTATTCAAGATAGAATGGTCAAATTTTCATGTTTCTTATAATACTAGTACTTATCCCAGGAATTTAAGAAATTGTCGCATTTATCATAATATAAAAATGAAAATAAAGAATTGCTAAAGAAATAAAAGGACACAAAAATTTATTTGGCACAATTCCAGATAAAGAATGCTGGATTATTCTGGGGTCGATGAGAAACTTGTGCCAGGATGATTTTACCCTGGCTCTTTTGATCGTTAAAAGGACTTTCGTCTGGCGTCACTTCCTGAAGAGATAAGATTGTGTGAAAATTTCTTTTCTTTCATTACATGCTGTGAAGCTTTTTATTGTTCCGAAATGTGTTTAAAAAAACTGCCTAGCCGAGTTTAGTTGCCTTCAGATAAAGGAGTTTATTACTTTTTAGCTTTTAGAGTGCAATATAAACACCTTGTGACTGTTTCAAAATTTTTTATGTTTTTGCTAATGATTATGAATTAAGTATTAATCAACTAGATAATTAGTAATTTTTTTGTTAATTGCTAATTTATTAATTAATCACTAATTTGTTAATTAGTAAATAATCTATTAGTTAATAAATATTCTATTAATAAATATTCTATTAATAAATATTCTATTAATAAATATTCTATTAGTTAATAAACAATCTGTTAATTACTGTCTAATTTTTCAATTACCAGTCAATTTATAATAAACCACATATTAATTGTATTAATAATTTCTCCTTCCGTCAGTATGTAGAGAACGAAATTTTCGATAAATAATAAACAGACTTATCGAGAATTTATGCTATGTCTACATTGAACCTATAAGACAAGCAGTTTACTGCAAAATTTATATCAGCAACATTTCTCTTTATAATAATTCAAGAAGAAATATTTGAAAACATTGCTTAATCATACTTTTCATTTTATATGAGGTTAATTAAGAAAAAAAGAAATTATTCTTTAATCTTAAATAATCTTCACATTATTTTGCATTTAATCTTATCAAAAATGATTATATGATAAAAGTAAATACTGCAAAATTTTAATTAAAAACGATAATGTTTGAAATCATCATCATATTTTAATATAATAACCAGGACAGTAGAGAGCATTTCAGAGCGTTTACTAATAAAATATTTTCCTATATATAATAATCCCATCCATCATCCAGGATTAACTCAACTACTCAACTACTAGACGGAAAGATCTAATTTCACTTAAATTCGTTCTCCGATAAAATGGATTTTTCCAAAACTTAATATAAATGTTATAAGTGTGTGTCTAAATATCTATTTTCGAGAATTGAAGTTACTTGTTAATAATGTTGAATAAAAAATGTTTCTCTTCTTGTGTGTTAAAATTTATGTTATGATTTGTGATTTATATATTGCAAATGTTGATAATAGGTAGTAGAATCTTTTGATAAATTAACATGTCTGACTGTAATTGACTTATACTACTGATTTATGCTATAAATCCGGTTTATTAATATTCTGAATTTAAGATATTAAAAATTAAAGTGATTTAAAAAGGAAGTTGTAAAGTACAGGGATTTTAATTTATCCGATTGACATAGATTTACTTTTACTATTGATTTCAAAATTTTGGAGAAACTATGAAAATTAATCTGCCTGACACAAAAATTGACATTTACTACTGATTCACATTTTACATTCTTACTGATTTTACATTTTTTTAACTGATTTTTACTACTACATCAAAACCTGAACAAAATCTACTGACTCGGTCTGATCAAAATTGATCTATACTATTTAAAAATTGTAGAAGATTAAAGAACGTAGTCATTTGTCTGATCTAAACTAACATTTACTACTGATTTAAAAATTTATATGAGTTTAAATTAATATGTCTGATATCAAACTGTTCATTACTACTACTTTAAAAAATTCAGAAAATAATTTATTATACCACGATTTAACTGTACTACTGATTTTAATAACTGGGAAAATTCTAAAAAATTAAAAAAATTAACTGCAACTACTGATTCAAATAATGTGCCAATTTAATTGAATATGTCTGACGTATACTGGCTGTTACTACTGATTTTAGAAATCTACAAATTCAGTTGTACTACTGATTTTAAAATGTCGAGAATTAAATTACTATTGTTAAAAAATAGAAAAAGCTCAATTAAATTTGTCTGACCAAAACTGCCTTTTACTACTAGTTCCAAAACTTCAAAAAAATTCTGAATTATCTGTCTGACATTAATTGAAGTTTACTACTGATTTGAAAGTTGCGCAAACTAATTGAATCTTGTCTTACAAAAATTGACTGCTACTACTAATTCAAATAATATTAATGTCTGTCACGTACTGACACTTACTACTGACTTAAAAATTTTGAAAAATCACTTTAAAAAAACCTGATCGAAATTGACCTTTACTACTGTTTTCAAAAATTATAAGAATTGAAATATGGAAACTGTCTGATTAAAATTAAGTTGTACTACTGATTTTAAAATATTGAGAGGTTCCAATTGTGGCAAAAATTACACAAGCTAAATTAAATTTGGCTGACCAAAACGGTCTTTTACTACTGATTTTAAAAATTGTAATTTATCGTAATATTGTAATATTTATTGTAATATTTATGCAGGTGATATAAATTGTCTTGTACTACTGATTCTAAAAACTACGAGAATTACAAATTATCTGTCTGACTTTAATGGACGTTTACTACTAATCTATAAGTTCCACAAGCAAAATTGTAGCGACGTGACTTGTGCTACTCATAAAAAAAAATTGTAATGATCCCAAATTAATTTCTGACACATATTGACCTCTACTACTGGCTTAAAAGTTTAGCAAGCTTATTTTAAAATGTCTAATCGAAATTGATTTTTTTGACGTTTCAAGAAGTTGTCAAATCAAAATCAATATGTCTGACTAAAACTGACTTGTACTACTTATTTTATTTGAAATTTGTATCAATTCTAATTAATGTATCCGATTTACAATTAAATTTTACCACTTGTATTAAAAAGTAAATAAAAGAATAAGTGTTGTCTGACTGAAACTCGCTATTACTACTGCTACTACTACTATAATTATGTAATGTATAAATATTTATATAAAATTAATTAAAAAAATGTATAAAATGTATAAAATTTAATTCGAAGTTGAAAAAATTCATATTTTCTTCTCACTAATTATCATATATTTATTTCGATTTTATCAAAGCTTAACCCAATCGATGTAGCAAACGGAATAATAAATAGAAATCATTATTTTTAAAAATTGATTAAGAATTGGAAAAAATTCAATAAAACTTCATTGGGAAGGAAAAACTGCTTGCGCAGTAAAAAAGTAGTAAACAAATATTTCAATTTGTAACAAAAATAATCCTTTTATTTTTCTTATTTTCTTTTATATATTATTTTACATTTCATTTTTATTCTATTTTTCTTTTTAATTCATTTTTTACAAATATTAATTCAAATAAAATTATTTTAAAAATATAAAACCTCCTCCACTGGTCTCAATTTCCCCCTTAAAGACCAGCATTCTTAACGATCCAATCCTTATAGGATGCAATTTCAGTGTAAACACCTGGATATCCCTTCAGAGCACAACCATTGCCCCATGAAACAATACCAGCTAATTTGCCACCAATGATCATTGGACCACCTGAATCACCTTGACATGCGTCCTTTCCACCTTGTGGATAGGCGGCACAAATTTGACCCTCCGGAATTCCTCCAAATCGCTTATAAGACTCAGAACAGACTCCCTTTGAAACAACAGGAATATCGACTGTTCGAAGAATTTCAGAAACTTTCCCACCTTGTTTCACTGTTCCCCATCCGGTTATTGTTGCCAATGAACCCTCAACAGCCTCCTCACCTTGATCGAAAAGTGGTATTGGCTTGCGTGTTGTTCCCAATTCCAATGGGGTTTTCAATTGAATCAAAGCCACATCATTCTCGGGAATTCCATATTTATTTGTCTTAAATTTCTCGTGTTGAATTATTTTCTCAACTGGATGTAGAGTGCCGCCTGAATTGAAATTTGTACTGCCCGTTCTCACATTAATCCATTGACTGGGATATTTTGTACAATGTCCAGCTGTTAGGATCCAATTTTCGGAAATAATACTGCCACCACAAAAACTAAAACCATAGGCTTGCAGCGATACCTGATAGGGGACTTCTTCAATTGTTGTTGGATTCCCACCGACTATACGTCCATTTGGCGTGAAGGGATTTATACCAACGAATTCACGAATTGGATCCGCTGTTTTTGAAAAGAAAATTTTTTTGTCATTATTTTACCCCTTTTAACAATTTTTAACACTAGAACTCTTTTTTCATATTTGTTTTATCTTTATTAGATTATTTAAAAAAAAACTTTTTTTAATTTTCAAAGAGAAATAACAATAGAATTATATAATTAAATATACAACAAGATACAGTTGAATAAAAATTAGTACGAAACTAATAGAAAATAAAAAACCTTGAAAAATAAAATATAAAACATAAAAAATAAGAAACAATTGCCTAAAAATTAGTATGAAAGAGAATAAAACCAATAAAATACAGTAAAAACAATAAAAAAAACAAAATAAAAGAAATACTAATAAATAAAATAGAAAAATAACTGAAATTAAAAATAGGATTCAATAAAAAATTAAAAGTACAATAGGATAAAAATTAGTACACAATAATAAAAAAAAATAAAATACAGTCATAAACAAACTAAAATAAATAAAATAAAAAATAACTACCATTAAAATTAGAATTCAATGAAAATACAATAGGATGATAATTACTACAAAACTAAAAGAAAATAAAATACAATAGAAAATTAAATAATAAATAAAAAACAAAATAAAAAATAATAATTAAAATATAAAATAAAATTTAATAAATTACAACTGGATAAAAATTAGTACAAAACTAAAGGAAAATAAAAAATTAAATACAATAAAAAATTGAATAGTAAATAAAAAAACCAATAAAATAAAATAGAAAATAGAAAATAGAAAAATGTATTAAAAAATGAAATATTAAAAAAAAATACATTATAAAGTAAAAAAAAAAAATTCAAAATTCAAAAAATAAGCATCTAATTTTTTTAATGATCAAATAAGAGAAAAACTAACCATTAACGGTTGCAAGTAGAACTGAAAGTACAAAATATCCCAACATCTTGGTGACAAATTGGTAATTGTTCACTTATTTCTTAATTCTCAAATGAATATAAAAATTCGAAATATATACTGATTTTTAATCTCACTGTTTGATTGATAGAAAACAATTAATCACTATTGATAATGATATAAAAATTCTGATTTTCTTTTTCTTTTGTACAATTTTTTATTCTTTTGACGATATACACATTAATCAATCAAGAGAAAATCCACTGGATGAAGAATTAGTAAAATTTTTAATTCATAAAATATTTAAAGAATCAATAACATATTCTGTATACTAATATCACTCGCAGTGTATGCAATTTGTCAATTTGTGAATTTAATTAAACTAATTAATTATTTAACATTCAGAACATACTCTTCGTCCTTTGTGATACAAAATTTCTGTAATATTAACAAATATTACTCAGTTAGATGTTGTTCGAAAGTAATTTCATTGTTCGAATTAATTAATTATTACTTGTAATTAATTTACTCATGAATATATTATTCATTAATTATTATTTGATTATTAATTTATTCTTAATTTGTTATTAGTTATTTACAAATTCCTCATTAATTGATTATTATTTTAAAATTAATTAAAAGTATCTACTTTATACTGATTGATTATCTAATTCTTTATTAATTGATTATTGTTATTTACTATGCTGCATTAATTCATTACTAATTTGTTATTAATTCATTATTATTAATTTACTAAGAGTAATTTAATCTCAGTTCGTTACTAATTTTTTACTAAATCATTAATTTAATTTTGTTAACTTATTATTATTAATTTATATTTAGTATTTAATTGCTAATTAATTACTAATTCACTAATAATCCATTGCTAATTAATTACTAATCCACTAATAATCTACTGCTAATTAATTACTAATCCACTAATAATAATCCACTGCTAATTAATTATTAATTCATTAATTGCTTATTAATTCATTAATTGCTAATTAATTGCACTTTTCTATAATAATATGTTACTAATGAATTGCTAATTAACTAATAATCCATTGCTAATTAATTACCAATTGACTAACAATTTATTGCTAATCAATTATTAATTCACTAATAATCCAATGCTAATTAATTACTAATTGACTAACAATCCATTTCTAATTAATTGCTGGTTAATTAATAATCCATTGCGAATTAATTACTAATTGACTAATAATTTGTAGCTAATCAATTACTAATTCACTATTAATGAAATGCTAATTAATTACTAATTGACTAACAATCCATTTCTAATTAATTGACGATTAATTAATATTCCATTGCTAATTAATTACTAATCCACTAATAGTTTTTTTTTGTGCGTATTATTAGGCATTGATTGTGGAATTCAACGAAGCAGAGAAATAGATTTTGTTTTGAGATTAAATGAAAATATGTTATTATAAATCAAAAATCATTTTCTTAACTGATGAACGACAAAGCATATCTCGTTTTTTCCCCACCGATTTTCTTCATATGCGCTTCAAACATTCGGTTGAATGTACGAATAATGAGAATATTAATAATTAATCACTGAGACTGATATTATAAGAGAATATTATTTGTTGTGACAGTAATTTTTCTATCATCATCGAAAAATATCTTATTTTTCCTATATTTATGATAAATGTAATTTTTTATTTAGATTATTTATACTAAACATTATGTTTAGGTACTTAATATAATTTACACTAAATATAATTTATACGGAATATAATTTTTGTTTAATGTAATTTATGATAAACATAATTTCTACTAAATTTCACGATAAACATATAAATTTACTCCTGCTGAATTTAATTTTTATTAAATATATAAATTTAATACAAGTTTTATTTTTATTTAATAGAATTTAAACTAAAAACTATTTTTACTTAACATAATTTGTATTAAATACTTATATTTTATTTATATTTACTTTAAGTGAAAATTGATTGATTTTTAAATACCAAAAAAAATTTTTTCAAACAAAACAGAATAAGGAAGAAGAATTTTTTGACAATTCTAAATTTTGTGATGAAATCTCTTCTTTTGAGGTTCTTTTCTATTTTTTTAATGTAAGCAGAAGAAAAATTTATTAACCAATTCTAAATTTTGAATTGAAATCTTAAAAATTTTTGTTTCGAAAATGCTCGCAATTATTTGAGAGTCAGTCAGGCGCAAAAAAAAATCATTTAATCTTAAAATCAATCACTGCTGATTTCTCGGAGAAAAGGAGGAAACGATGAAGACGAAAATGAAAATTTTAATCAAATTTGAGAATTTTATCAAGAATGTATAAATTGTCTGTCAGTGATCAAACAGTGATCTATAAAGTGATGATGAGAGAAGATGAAAGGTTTTATTATTTTCACATTAATATAATTTAGTATATTAATTTAATTCACTACTATAAATTAGCACCGCAATTGACTAAAATTAAATAAACTATAAAATTAATTAAAATTGACTAAAATTTATAATAATGCTTTTTGGTGCTGAATTCAGGAGAAATCATTTATTTTATCATCATTTACAATGATGCTGGGACAAATCATCATTTTTTCCATTCTCTTTGCTCTTGTGCCAGGCAAGTTTTGTTTCTTTTAAAATTTTTATCCCAATTTGAAAAATTAACAATTTTACTCTAATATTTAATTATTAATTATTTTTAATAAAATTTTAATCAAATTCCTCGATAAATGTAATTATTATTAAATTTTTTATTAAAATTCGTCAAACGAATTCAATTATTTAAAAATTTATTGATAAAATTCTTTATGAGAATTCAATTTTAAAGAACATTCAAATATACAATAAATTATTTTTGTATTTAAAGAATTGAATTCTAGTAGAATTTTATAATAAAAATTGATTTAAAAATAAATTTCAGTTAAAAACAAATGAATTTGAAAATTCTCAAAAAACTATTTCAAAAATGATTAAAAATAATGGATTTATAGAAAACTTTTAGTTAGCACTAAAAAAGATTTAATTTTGAAGAAGTTACAAATTATTGCAGAAATTCAATTGTTTTCAAAAGTAATAAAATCCTTCGCAGAAATTTCATTATGTTAAAAAATTGTAAAATTCTTCATAGGAATTAAATTATTTTCATAAATAATAAAACTCAATGCAGAATTTCAATTATTTTTAATACAATTTTAATTAAATTTCTCGAAAAGTGTAATTATTTTAAAAAATTTTATTAATAATCGTCGAAAGAATTTAATCATTTAAAAATATATTGGTAAAATTCTTTATGAGATTTTTGAATTTTGAACATTAAGAAACATTCAATTGTTCAATAAACTATTCATGTTTGCATTTAAAATTTTAAATAATATATGAATTCTAGTAGAATTTTCTAAAATTGATTTAAAAATGAATTTCAGTTAAAATTTTAGATAATAATTGTATATTAAAAGCAATATAGCGTAAATTTTTAGAAATAATTGAATTTTGAAATTAATTTTTTTGAAAAAGAGTAATTAAATTTTTTTTATATTGTTTGAAGTTTTTATTTTCCAATATATATTTAATTGAAGAATTTACAAATAATTTAAATTTGTAAAATTGAATATTTTAAATAAATGGATTTTGAAAATTGTAGAAGAACTTTTTTGAAAATTAATTGATTTAAAGAAAAATTTTAGTGAAAAATTCTTAAAAATAATAATTGAATTGAAGTAATGAAAATAATTTTGAAGAAGTACAATATTCTTATAATATGAAATAATGATTTTATCAATTTTTCATTTTTAATTATTAGAAAACATGAAGATTTCTAGTGAAATTTTATAGAACTTTTTTAGCTGGGAGAAGAACTTTTTTTCCAAACTCTAAAAAATGATAAAAAATGAAAGTTATACAGAAACCGTATATATATATATATATATCGAAATTAATATCCCTTGGGAAAAAAAATATTCTTGTAAACAAAAACTAATGAAATTGATACAAATAATACACCATATACACAAAATAAATAAAATCATAACCAATATTCATTTTTCTATAAATTCAAATATTATTTACTAACAATTATTTTCCCTTTTTTTTATTCAATTGCAAAAAAAAAAAAAAAACAGGAAACACAATATCACGATCGGAAAAAATTGGAATCAATCCCTTCACTCCAAATGGACGAATAGTGGGTGGCGAGCCAATAACCATAGAAAAAGTTCCCCATCAGGTTGCACTGGAATCCAGTGGCTTTAGTTTTTGTGGCGGTAGCATTATTTCCAATAAATGGATATTGACAGCCGGTCATTGTGTCGCTACTACAAGAAATTTACTGACAAATTCGTGCCGGTACAAATCAATTAAATTCAGGTGGCACTGTACATTCTGTTCGGCGAGTAATAAGTCACGAAAATTACAAGAGAAATAAATTTCACATACCTGAGAATGATATTGGTCTACTGGAATTAATAACGCCTATGGTATTTGATGCAAAACAAAGGGCAAAAATCTATTGTTGGTGCAATATCGGAAGTTACAGGCTGAGGGAGAACACAACAAACTGGTACTAGATCACTTCTTCTTCAACATGTTAAAGTGCCTATTGTCTGGAAAGAATCGTGTAATAGTGAAAAAAAAATAAATAAATAAAAAAAAATATTATAAGAAAATTGGAGGACTACCACAGGAGCAAAAATGCGCCGCAATCGCAGAAGGTGGAAAAGATGCGTATCAAGGTGATTCTGGTGGTCCATTGACGATTGGTGGAAGGCTAGCTGGAATTGTTTCGTGGGGCAATGGTTGTGCTGTGAAGGGAAATCATGGCGTTTACACGGAAATTGCGAGTTATCACAATTGGATTACTAAACACACCAGACTTTAAATTTTTGATCTCATTATTTTTAAGTTTTATTTATTTAGGAGAGAAGAACAAAAAGTCTGACTAAAACTGACCTATACTACTGATTATTAAATGAGATTCTGTTTGGCCATAACTGACTCTTACTACTGAATTTAAAACTAAAAACTAAAAACTACTAAAATTAAAACTTGGGACGGTTCTTTAAAATTTGACTGTTCTGAACTGACTGTAACTAAACTGACTTATTTAAAATTAAAGGAATTGAAATTCATTCATTA